CATAGTTTTCATTCCGATACTAATTCTATTAAAACAATGATACCAGTGAATATGGCAACGTTGCTAGTCTTTGAAGCCCGTGGTTAAAAGGGTAGCTGCTGTATAGTTAAATTTGTTAATTCCTGTGTCGAAAAATAGGTAGTTGTTTTTGAAGAGGTGCGAAATTATTGTGATTGTCTTAGTTTATTGTTGAGGCGTTGTTAGGTTTTTGTTTAATTTAGTTTTTAGTTAATTTATGAAATGAAAAATTCTGGAAGGCAAAAATGCACAAGTGACAAATTTCTATTTTATTTGTTTGCTGCCAGAGTTAGTAAATCCTAGAAAAATGTGCCAATTAGGGAAAAGAGATTGTCAAGAATTTTGCGCGCTTAAAAAAAAGTGTAATATACAGGGTATTTCTAAATACATGCGACAAAATTCAGGAACTGATTGCTCGTATGAAATTAAGTTGGGTCTTTCCTATAACAAAATTTCCTCAGCCCACCCCTTTTCGAGATATGACCCTTAAAATGTGGTGACTAAAATTGAGTTTTTATTTTTTTTTTCTAAAATTTCAGTAAAGCTAGAAACTTGAAAATCTGTAATCGCAAAGGACCTACCACAGGTATTTTTTCAATATTTCTGTTACATTATAGGGGGGTGAAATTAGCAACACTCACTTTATTTCATATCAAAACTTTTTTTCGAGATGAACTTTTATGAAATCCTTGATTTATTTAATTTTTTTTTATTCTTGAATTTTTTTCCCAAACCAATAGCTTCAGAGAAAAAAAATTAACACCCTAATTTATTATTATTTTTTTTTAATAAATTAAGTGGAAAACAGTGTAACGGGCTTGTAACTATCGTATCGTACACTCTGTCATTATTCGTTTCTTGTAATAATTTACACCAGTTTACGCCAGAAGATAGCACTTAACGAAGCGTTTTAGCCACTAATTTTGGCGAATTTTTAAAAATCATTAACAAGACATTAGGGGCTTAAATTTGGGAATTATATTAAGAATAGTGCTGTCGAGGAATGCATTTATTTTCATTATGATATTTCAAAATTAAAGCCCTTTTAGTTTTTTTGGGAAACTGGAAGGAATTAAAACTTTAAAATATATGCATATTATAGATATTATTGCCTAATTTATTTTGTCAAAATTTAAATATTTTGAGATATTCTTGTCCGAAAATTATAAGGGGTATGAACACCTTAACACTGAAAGAGAATTAACTTTAATTCATGAGATGCAAAGCATCATAATTGTCGCGTCACAAAAACCACCTGCTGTCAAAAGAAAATTTTATTTTGTGTTGTAAAAGAGAAAAAATTAACATTTCGTGTTTTAATAGTTATTTTTTTAATTTAATAATCTATGTGAAAAACATTTTTTTTAATACAGGCTTTAAAAAATTATTATATTAATATACTTATTTAATTGTACTTATATTTGTTGTTCCTTTAATAAAATAAATACAATTTACCTATCTCCAATTCATCACTTTCTATATCCATATACCTAGGGTCCGATTACAATTAGAAAAACACCGCTACGTCATAACTATTATTTTGAATTTCCAATATACAGGGTGTCTCGAAATTAGACGGTCATATTTTAACAGCGTAATCTACATCCTACAAGTATTAGAAATTAAAAATTAAAAAAAAACCGAATTCAAAAACGTGCAGATACCGTCACCACATCTTAACCAAATTTATATAGGATCACCCCTGAGGTACCCCCTTACTACCAAAAAAAGAATCATATAAATCGGACAAGGTGGTAAAGCATTATCGCTAAACATACATAAAAAATTAAGAGTTTGAGAATTTTTTCATGGGCCCAATTATTAGATTTTGACCAAATTTATATGGAACCACCCCTGAAGTACCCCCTTTCTAACAAAAAAAGAATCATTGAAATCGGACACCGTGTTAAAGAATTATCGCTGAACATACATAAAAAAAAATTTAAAAAAATATTGCGACGAATTGAGAACCTCCCTCCTCCTTTTATGAAGTCGGTTAAAAATAGGAGTAAAAGTTTATATAAACATAGGTCCGAAAACGTTTCGTTTTCGAGATACAGGGTGTTACAAGTGAAGTCCAGATGAAATATTTTCTAAAATTTCTTTAGTTACCGGTTTTTCAAAGTTAAAAAAAAATAAAATTTCCAATTCTACAGACCTACTAATTATTGTTTACACTTTCGAATAAGGTAACATGCTATTCTCTTGAAAATGGCGCGTCCTAGCGAGATGCAACAAATGTAGCTTTATTATACAGATTATTTTTTTCGTATAACTTTTAACCAATTAGAACGTTCAATTTAGTTAAGTTACCTTGTATAATTTCGATAATACCTGATTATACATAAAGTAGCTCCACCAATCAAAAATATTTTCAATAATTTCATTTCCGTAGTAATCACATCGACAACAATATACTAACTAACAGGACCGTCAAATTTTGACGTTTATCAATAATTATTTTCATTGTACCAATATGTAATTAAATTAATAAATTGTTGATATTTACTTAATTTACTCAAAAAATAATCGTATCAAATACAATACGTACTTCAAAATAAATACGGTTATACATCTCAAACTTCCTGTATAATTACAAATCGTGTCAGTTTAACTGTCAAACTGACACTCTTTATAATTATGCAACAAGTTATCGATGTATAACCTGATTATTTTGAAGTACTTATAGTATTACTACTGAAAATATTGGTTTTCCAAATTTTATAGTCAAAAAAATCTGATGTGTCCAACACTTTCCTATCTAGTTATTATAGGCTTTTTCTGGTTATTTTGTACAACTTATTGCAGTACCTCTATAAATGTTTAAAAGATAAACTAAATATATACATTTTCCACATACATCTATCTACCTCGAAACATTTTTCTATAGTTATTCATTGAAAACGAAAATACTGAAAAATTTAAATTTAGCAATTTTCCTACAATTTTTCCATTACGGTCCATTTTAGAAAAATTACGTATAAACAAAAATTATAGAGATCGATATCGCAAACAACGTTTAGTTTAGTTTAGAATTTTGCACATTTTGTCAAATTTCTCGAATACGGACCATTTCAGGAAATTTTGACATGAAGCAAAAATTATAGATAATAATATTAGAAGTAAATTTTATTTGAATAATTTTCTTCTCCAAACATAAATAACAGATATATTCAATAAAATATAAAAACGGCCTCTCATAAAGTACAACAATTAAGTAACTCGATGAAAAGACGGGCAGTTGAAGACATATGTGAAAAACCATCAAAATTATTGCATACGGAATTAAAAAAGCAGAATGTCGATTCGTTAACCGTTAATGACGTGTTTTTGATTCGAAAAAATATGTATAACAACAGAAATTTTCTGAAACTCTGGTATGTTGTTGTAGTCAACCTAGTAACCAAAAGTGTTAATGGGCCCAACTCAATCCTGTGACTAGTTTTCGTTATACCGATATATTTGGTAGGTAATTATAAAAGAGTTAGATTATCTTCTTCTTTTTTTTGTTGTATTTTAAAATTCTAAATTCTTTGTTTTTGTTTCTATAGTATATACTTAGATTTAAATTAAACAGCATTTATAAAACGTAAAAAAAAACTAATATAAAGATTCCGCACACAAACTTTGTTTAGGCGGGTCTTAAAAAATTGTTAAAAAAATGTAAATTATTTTAATGAATAAATTTGATTTGATTTGATTTGATCCTGTACTTATATTTCAAAATCTTATGGTTACATGCAAAAGTCTCTAAAGAAATGCAAGGTCTTGTTTCAATAATTTCAAAACAATTATTTTTGGTGGCTCACCCTGTATAAAAAGTACAAATAGTGAAATCTTTTGACCTCAAAATTGTTTACGGGTAGATATTGAGATAATGAAATAATTTATCTGTGGCGTAACTGTAGAATTATTGAGTGTTTGCAAAAATATATTGTGACTTATTCGTGAATCACCCTGTAACAGTAAATATTTTAAAATGTCTCTTTTATGAACATAATACCAAAAATTATATTAATCTTTTATATACATTAAGTCAAACTATCTTTTCAGTTTGAAGAAATAATAACTAAAATCAGTAATTCTCCACTTTAACGCCCTGTATCTCAAAAACTAGTCTTAGTATCGATTTTAAAATTCATACTTCCTAAAACTACATTAAAATTATTATATATTGAGAAAATGGTTACATTTGACGGGGGAAATTTTAGAATACAGGGTGTTTGTGATTTTTGTACTTTTCTTAATATAGAATACCTTCCAACAAATAACTCACCTTGTATATTTTAAAGCTTAAAGGTAGATATATTTTAGTGATATTACCTTTTCCAAAATTCAACACATAAGTACAGGGTTTTGAATTAATCGTTAAAAAATTGTATGTTGTGGTTCTCTCTATAAGAAATGTGTACTGTGATATATTTTGTCGTCAAAATACCATATTAAGTAGTACTTTTTGAAAATATGCTTCTCTGACCGCACAGTAGAATTAGTGTGATTTTACAAAAAATTATCGTCATACATTTGTGAATCACCCTCTAATTATACATATTTTTAATTGTACGTATGTACTAATGTGTTAATAAAACTCATATTAAACGTGTGTATGCATCAGAAATTTAATTTAGCTCGTAAGTTTGCAAATAAAAATTCACAAAAAGTGGGCAATTTTCGACTTTAAACTAGTCATAGGATTGAGTTAGAGCCATTGACACTTTTGGTTACTAGGTTGACTACAACAACATACCAAAGTTTCAGAAAATTTGACGGGTCGCCACTTTGCATAAGAAAAGTGCGGGGTCCTTTACAGACCTTAATTTCTGTTCTTATTTTGTAATTTTCTGTATATTGTTAATTTTTTCTTTTATTACTTTGTATTCATTTTAATAATTGTTACTTGAAAAATTTGTTTGTTTAATAGAATACTCAACTTTTGAAATATCTTGTATATGAAAAAAGCAAATAAAAGAAAATAAACTTACGGTTTTTCGTTAGTCAGAAAATCTACCAATCCAAATGTATCTAGGCACAAATCATACTAAATTCCCCCTGAACAATTTTCATCTATCCACTATCCACCAACTATCACTTTCTATACGAAAAACAGGATATTACGATGCATTTCGCTTTTATATTCAAACGTGCATATCTTATGCCCATTGTTATGATTTTTTATAAAGTTTCCCCGAGTCGTGTACCTATAGGTAAAAATTGAAAAATCGGATGATGGCGATTTTGATTATGACTGATTTCTCCGAGCGAGAACCACTAAGGTCAAAACGTACCCGTATTTCGGAAATGGCCTAAAATTATTTTTTCTACTACCGTTCTAAAACTTTACTTCACGCACTAGTGCGTAAAGAGTTTTTTCTACTACCGTGCGTAAAGTACGTACTTTACGCACTCCACGAAGTGTGTAAAGTTGTACTTTTTTCACTAGTGCGTAAAGTAAAACTCTTTACGCACTAGTTAAAAAAAGTAAAATTTGACAAAATTTGTACATAACAACAAAATATAACGTTTTATTTTATATTAACATTTTTTTGCTATCTCCTTCTAAGACAAATAAATAAATTATTTTTGCTTATATCTATTTAGTGTCCAACAAATTATCAACAGTTTATTTTAATTATAATTTTCTCTAAATGTCATCGATTTAATTAAAAGTAAACATACAGTGGATGTCAATTTTGGTAAAAGTAAGTTGGCCGTGGCTCTGTGGATTAGAAGAACTGTCAATCTCTTAACTTTTAATTAGTACCTACCTTATAACAGAACACGACAAAAGTATACTTAAGTTCAAGATTAGATTCTAAAGCCAATTTAGCATTTTTTTTAAACTCAATCAAGTTTGAGAAGGTAAAAAGTTTTACTTTTTAATGTTTGTTTACTTAAATTCAAATTTTATTTGCAGTTTATTATATCTGTCATAATCGATATGGATTCAAATTTATCTAGCGATAGCGAATTTGATAATACTCCCCCAGATATCTTATGCAGTGCACAAAAGGCCACTGAAAATTTATTGCCAGAAAAATCTGCATATATTTATCAGCAAAAATACAATGCATTTATAGAATAGTGTAGGAAGAATAAGGTGACAAAATATTCGGAAAACGTTATTTTAGCATATTTCTCTGATGAATTGAAGAATTGCAAAGCTTCTACCCTATGGTCGATTTATTATATGCTTAAAAGCACCTTAAAATATAAAAACAACGTTGATATTTCGAAATTCAACAAGTTAATAGCGTTTCTCAAACAAAAAAATAAAGGTTATAAACCAAAAAAATCCAAAATTTTTGAACGAGAAGAATCTAATTAATTTTCTGTTGAAAGCTCCAGATTCCAAGTTTTTAATGATCAAAGTAAGTAAATGCCTTAGTAAATGCTTGAATGCTCAGTATAAAATTAAAATATTCTGTAAAGTTTTGCAACGAGATGTGTGTTCGTATGATGTGTTGCCTAACAAAATCAGTTGCTGTCCTAACATGCCACCGGGGTTGTTAGGCAGCACATTATACCTAAAACTTTTATATTTTTTACAATAGCATTTATTTGGAGTTTTACATGCGCAACGTCAAGATATTTCCAAATGTTTAATAAATTATTTGTAACATTACAATATGTTATTTTTTAGGTAGCTTTTATAATTGGAATTGCGGGAGCTTGTCGCCGGGAAGAATTATGTAAAATGACAATTAACGATGTGGAAGATAAACAAACAGTGTATATTGTCAAAGTATCAGAAACCAAAAATGGAATAGAACGCATTTTTACGATTTTAAATCCAAATAATTCTGCAGTTGATTATTTATCTTTCATAAAAAAATATACCTCATTAAGACCAAATATAAATTGTAACAGATTATTTTTAAAATTCGCAAATGGAAAATATTCTAAACAGCCTGTAGGCCACTTAAAGTTAAGTTAAGCTTATTGTTGAGTGAACGGTTTTATTGGTTTATAGCCTTCGTCCTCTTTTGGTCTATTAGTATTTGATTATGTTTGGATACTATCTATTTAGTTTTTAATCCAGTTAAATCCAGTATTTTGTTAAATTGAGCAACCCTATTTTAAGACACTCTATGAGTAATTTTTTTTATCTTATCCATGCATCTCCCTTATTAAAGTAGATAATGATAAAAATATCTCTTCATATCAAATATCTTGTCCAAACATGAGTCTTGTTCATCTCGATTTGAACAGTTGTCTGTAATACCTAATTCGGTACATCGGTACATTTAAACATACATTACAAATCAAGCGACAAATCAAATGTAACTAATTACAGGCCAATATGCATTTAAAGTGTGATTCCTAAACTCTTTGATAGTATTATTACAAAGTATTTATCGAAACTGCTTGATCCTTTCATCATAGATCAGCAGTTTGGTTTCCGCTCCAAAAAGTCCACTGAACTTAACTTGTTGTCTTATGTTGATTACTTATCGAATGCCTTGGATTCTAATGATCAAGTTCATGCTATATACACTGATTTTTCAAAGGCATTCGACAGAGTTAACCACAATTGCTTGATTGGAAAGCTTAGTAACATTGGCATTGGTGGTAATCTTCTGAAATGGATCGAATGCTTTATAACAAACCGCATTCACATTGTTCGTGTTTCTGGTTTCTTATCCTCTGGCTTTACCACTACATCTGGTGTCCCTCAAGGTTCACATTTGGGACCTCTACTTTTTAATATATATAACAATGACATCCAAAATTGTTTTAAGAATTCTCAGTTCCTTTGCTTTGCTGATGATTTAAAATTATTCATGCGTGTAAATTCCTTATGTGATTGTATTTGCCTTCAAAAAGACTTGGATAACTTGGTCCAATGGTGTAGTACTAATGGAATGGAATTAAATACAAGTAAATGTCATGCAATCAATTTCAACAGAAAACATAGTCCTATTGAATATATCTATAAAATCAATGACATAACACTGGATACTATTACAGAGGTAAAAGATTTGGGTGTGATATTAGACTCCACCCTTTCTTTTCAAACTCATATAACGGCCTCAGTTAATAAAGCATTAAGAATGTTGGGTTTCCTTAGAAGAACTACTTCTGATTTTCATAATGTGATATGTTTAAAGATTCTTTATTGTGCCTTAGTTAGACCTTATATTGAATATGCTTCTTCTGTATGGAATCCTTTTTATGTATATCTAATCCATAATATAGAACAGGTTCAAAGAAAATTTTTACGCATTGTTGCATTTAAATCGGGTATTGTCCCGGTCAACTTCAGATACAATTATGACGAATTACACACACTTTGTCATCTTGAGACCCTTCTGAGCAGAAGAAACCAAAGGGATCTTAAAATATTGTTTAACATTATTAACTCATCTGCCGATTGTCCATACTTGTTATCCCAAATTGGATTTTCTGTACCCTCTAGAGTAACTAGGAATATTAATACATTCTCTCAACCTTTTCATAGAACAAATTATGGTTCTCACTCTTTTATTCCTAGAGCAACAAGATCTGCTAACAGACTAAATGTAGAATGGATTACTTCTCCATCAGATTTTTCTATCCATTTATGTATATGTGAGGAGTAATTTTTAATTGTTTTTAATAATATTTATGTATTTAAATTAATTTATTATTATTATTTAGGATTTTATTACTATTTAATGTATGTAATAATATGTATTATCTGTAATTGTATTGTTTTAATGGGCTCTGACCCGTAAATAAATAAATAAATAAATATATTTCACAGATCATCTCTTGTTGATTTATTCTGTAATTTATAGCAGATATATTGTATAGAAGAGGTCAGGTAGACGTCTACACTAACATATCCAAAGATTAGTTCACATCTTTTGAATATACCACAATTTGTACCGTGCCTTTTGGATATAAATCGGCCGCTACCTTTTAACATCAGGAATACATCAAGGCTCTGTTTTTGGACCACTTCTTTTGTCCTGTAAATTGGGCCTATACTGTTGGATATTGTAAAAATAAAATTAAACTATTGCTAATCGATGACTTATGCATATATTGCTCGAACGTTTCTACAAAATTATTGTATAGGTGCAAAGATCTTAATGTTCTATTTCTAAATGACAAGAATTCATCGACATTATAAGAGCAAACCGAACACCGAAAATTTATAATTCATTCTGAGCCTTTATTTTTAGTCCGATTTTTGTGAAATTTTTAGAAAATACCAATAATAACAAAACATAGGGCTGAGAAACCTTGAATTTTTTGTAAACTTTCGAAAAGTATTTAGTTTGAAAATTTTTAATAGGAATTTAAAAAAAAATGTACGCGTCATTCTGTATTAATCTATAAACATTTGCTGCTTTTTGTTTTAATAAATATCTAGTAGTTTTTAAATGTGATAATTTCCCACCTTTTTTTCTTAAACGACTCTATAGAGTGCTGCCAAATTTAAGGCTCTCATTATTTTCAAGAAACGCGAAGTATTCCCAGATGCACACATTTAATAATAATTTTAAATTAGAAAATCCTTAAAACATTTTTGCTTTTGCGAGAGGTCCGATTTGCCCTTAAGTTAAAAAAAAACGAAAGTGTTTGTGTTTATCATTAAAAATATTGCATTAGGAAACCTTGGCAATATTTTAAAACTCGCCTTTGGTAATTATGAACTTATCACAATATTATAGTATCGCTTTATTCCAAACTTATTTTATCTCAAATCCAACCATAACATAAATATTTCTGTTGATCATGTCGCTTGGGATAAAGAATGTCACTTCTATAAGAGAGCACAGACAAAATTTAGAGATAGCATAGTGCCATCTCAATAGCAACTAACTAATTCATCTAAAAATCATGTATGTATTAATTCAACTTCTAAAGGACAATGGGCAGAAATGTATGGGAAATTGCCCCACTCCCAATAAGGATAAGTTATATACCAATTGAAAGATATTTTTCAGGAGAACATTTCTTTTCATTACGACTCATCCCAATTACTTGTCCGTTCCGAGTTATATCATCCTAAATGTAACTAATTGCACGATAGGCCAGTGCTTATATTCTGTTACTGTAGTGCTTATTACAGGTAAATAATAGTAATTATTACTTCTTAGTAATATAAAAACAATTATAGAATCCTAA